CTATAGTATAGACTACAAGTGGTCTATAGTATAGACTACAAAGTGGTCTATAGTATAGACTACAAAGGGTCTATAGTATAGACTACAAAGTGGTCTATAGTATAGACTACAAAGTGGTATATAGTATAGACTACAAAGTGATCTATAGTATAGACTACAAATTGGTGTATAGTATAGACTACCAAAGTGGTCTATAGTATTCGACTACAAAGTTAGATCTACTCAGTCTATGACTACAAAGTGGAGGGTGGGGTCCTAATAGTATAGACTACAAAGTGGTCTATAGTATAGACTACAAAGTGGTCTATAGTATAGACTACAAAGTGGTCTATAGTATAGACTACAAAGTGGTCTATAGTATAGACTACAAAGTGGTCTATAGTATAGACTACAAAGTGGTCTATAGTATAGACTACAAAGTGGTCTATAGTATAGACTACAAAGTGGTCTATAGTATAGACTACAAAGTGGTCTATAGTATAGACTACAAAGTGGTCTATAGTATAGACTACAAAGTGGTCTATAGTATAGACTACAAAGTGGTCTATAGTATAGACTACAAAGTGGTCTATAGTATAGACTACAAGTGGTCTATAGTATAGACTACAATGTGGTCTATAGTATAGACTACAATGTGGTCTATAGTATAGACTACAATGTGGTCTATAGTATAGACTACAAAGTGGTCTATAGTATAGACTACAAAGTGGTCTATAGTATAGACTACAAAGTGGTCTATAGTATAGACTACAAAGTGGTCTATAGTATAGACTACAATGTGGTCTATAGTATAGACTACAAAGTGGTCTATAGTATAGACTACAAAGTGGTCTATAGTATAGACTACAAGTGGTCTATAGTATAGACTACAAAGTGATCTATAGTATAGACTACAAATTGGTGTATAGTATAGACTACAAAGTGGTCTATAGTATTGACTACAAAGTGGTCTATAGTATAGACTACAAAGTGATCTATAGTATAGACTACAAAGTGATCTATTGGTGTATAGTATAGACTACAAATTGGTGTATAGTATAGACTACAAAGTGGTCTATAGTATTGACTACAAAGTGGTCTATAGTATAGACTACAAAGTGATCTATAGTATAGACTACAAAGTGGTCTATAGTATAGACTACAAAGTGGTCTATAGTATAGACTACAAAGTGGTCTATAGTATAGACTACAAAGTGGTCTATAGTATAGACTACAAAGTGGTCTATAGTATAGACTACAAAGTGGTCTATAGTATAGACTACAAAGTGGTCTATAGTATAGACTACAAAGTGGTCTATAGTATAGACTACAAAGTGGTCTATAGTATAGACTACAAAGTGGTCTATAGTATAGACTACAAAGTGGTCTATAGTATAGACTACAAAGTGGTCTATAGTATAGACTACAAAGTGGTCTATAGTATAGACTACAAAGTGGTCTATAGTATAGACTACAAAGTGGTCTATAGTATAGACTACAATGTGGTCTATAGTATAGACTACAATGTGGTCTATAGTATAGACTACAATGTGGTCTATAGTATAGACTACAATGTGGTCTATAGTATAGACTACAAAGTGGTCTATAGTATAGACTACAAAGTGGTCTATAGTATAGACTACAAAGTGGTCTATAGTATAGACTACAAAGTGGTCTATAGTATAGACTACAAAGTGGTCTATAGTATAGACTACAAAGTGGTCTATAGTATAGACTACAAAGTGGTCTATAGTATAGACTACAAAGTGGTCTATGGTATAGTCTACAAAGTGGTCTATGGTATAGACTACAAAGTGGTCATTAGTATAGACTACAAAGTGGTCTATAGTATAGACTACAAAGTGGTCTATAGTATATACTACAGATTGGTCTATAGTATAGACTACAAAGTGGTCTATAGTATAGAATACAAAGTGGTCTATAGTATAGACTACAAAGTGGTCTATACTGTAGACTACAAAGTGGTCTATACTGTAGACTACAAAGTGGTCTATATTGTAGACTACAAAGTAGTCTATAGTATAGACTACAAAATGGTCTATAGTATAGACTACAAAGTGGTCTATAGTATAGACTACAAAGTGGTCTATGGTATAGTCTACAAAGTGGTCTATGGTATAGACTACAAAGTAGTCATTAGTATAGACTACAAAGTGGTCTATAGTATAGACTACAAAGTGGTCTATAGTATAGACTACAAAGTGGTCTATAGTACAGACTACAAAGTGGTCTATAGTACAGACTACAAAGTGGTCTATAGTATAGACAACAAAGTATATAGTATAGACTACAGTATATAGTATATAGTATAGACTACAGGCTACTTGGTAGTTTATAGTATAGACTAAAAAGTGGACTATAGTATAGACTATAGACTAGTCTTTAGTATATACTAGTCTTTAGTAAAGAATATAGACTAGTCTTTATAATAGACTATAGACTAGTCTTTAGTATAGACCACTTTGTAGTCTATACTATAGACTACCAAGTAGCCTGTAGAATTGCAAGACTTCTGAAATACTTTTGTTATTTTCCAGATACAGTAGTTTTCCGATTTAACGAACTCATATGTTGTCAGGCCTGTTCGTAAAATTGAAAAGTTCGTTATATGCAGTAGTAACTAAAACGTGGGTTTTTGGTAGAAAAATAATTAAAAATAGGTACATAAAATATTTTTTAAATGTATTTTATAAAAATGAATTCTTTTTCTATAATAATAGCACAAAACACAAAATTCTGAATCTTATATACACAGAAAAAAGTTCCAGCATAAATATTATGAACTGCTTTCATTGACTAAAGTTAATAATATTTAAGAATAAGTTCCTAAATTGTATGAATTTTTTCATTTTTATATTCTTAAACATAATCTAGAAGCCTTGACATAAAATATTAAAAATTTTCTTTATATTTTTCTATTTAACATAACATGCAGCATTTTGTGAAGAATGGATGTTTAGCTATATGCTGATGTTTTTTTATTTCATATTTTGTTTTCCAACATTTTATTTATTTATCATAAAAATTCGCTAATATGTGATTATTTTCTAAAAAATGGAAGATATTAATAGGTAACGCGGATATTTATTCCAATTTTTTATGAAAATCAAAAAAAAAAAAAAAAAAAAAATGAGTAAAAAAAAACAAAAAAATCTTTAATGTACAAATTCATACATTTTATAAACTTTTAATATTCTGAATGATTGGTTTAGGAAAAAAAAGTCATGTTCGATTCATTCAATTTATTACAAAATTCATTCAAGTTATGTATTAATTTTTTCTGTGTACCCACCTTCAAACCATATTTGTGTCGAATTTCATCGCTGTATTTTTAATTCAGTCATGAGCGTTAAAGTTATTTCTCGAAGTTCATCGCTATACTCGTATTTTTAAGCGAGTAATGAGCGTTGAAGTAATTTTCTTAAGGGGGCCTGATATGGAGGATAAGGTCAATTATGGACCGATTCCCATAAAATTTGTTAGAGATTTCGGTTAGTATAGAACATGTTTGTATCGAATTTCATCGGCGTACTCGTATTGTTAAGCGAGTAATGAGCGTTAAAGTCATTATCTGAAGGACGGACGGACATAGTAGCTATGTCCGTCCCTAAAACTAAAATTTAATAAGAACCCAGAATGTGTTACAGTTTTGGGTATAAAAGCACCGCTTAAAACAACGGTATAGTTTTTTGCTACAACTTATGTTATTTGTTATTTTTGATAAATGTCATTTTATCTTCATTTAAATAATAATATTTTTATTAGTTCGTTAAACAGAGTACAAAAACAAGTAGTTTTGTTCGTTATTTAAGGTAGTCAATAGGAAAAATTAGCTTGTTCGTTAAATGCGATGTTCGTAGAATTGAATGGTCGTTAAATCGGAAAACTACTGTATTCATGAACACAGTCATTTTTGAAATAATTTTTTTTTTTATAATTATAATGTAAATTTAAACAAAAATCTACTGTTTTATAATAAAAACATTTTCTTTTGCCGACAAAAAGCAATTAAAATTCTAGAACTACATTCTGAAACGAAAATTTACTTTACAATGTTTATAGAATATTAAAATTGCATAATATATAAAAGTCCAAAGTAAAAGTTATAAATTGGTTTCAAAACAAAGCAATTTTTTAAATATAATGCATTTTATGTAAAACATTTAGAAACCTCATTATAAAAACGTTTACGAAAAGAAAAATAGATCACATAGCTGTAAGTAATGTAAGCAGTTTTTAAATATTGCACTGTGGGGACGTGCATCTTATAAATTACTAATTGACTTGAAATTTCGATTTGATTTAAATTAACGATAATCCTATGAAATTATCAAAGAAGACGATTACTGGATCTCGTGGCTATTGGTCAACCTATTCTCTATATAGTTAACTACATAACGTCGTCAGTTATATGGACCTGCCTATAACTGCCCAAAGCCTCTCTCAGTTTTTAAGTTCGTGTTAAAATGTATCATCTTATTTTTATTGAAATCTTTGGAAATGCAAGGTTTATTTGAACGATCGATGTTCGTTGTTTGCTTAAATAAAAATAAAGTTAAAACAAATAAATATTTACATTTTATACGCAAAATATATAAATAATCTGAACACACCTCTGTTAAATGCAATTTATTCTTACAATTTCCCGATAAAATATGAATTTCAAATTTATTTTCCCACCCAGTATATTTAACAAAGCGACATATTTGTACAGAGTAATGCAGAAGAATGTAGGCCCTAAATTTATAAAAACAACAAAACATACGAAAACTATTTCCATGTACGATAAATAAATTGCAACAAGTAAAATTGAGATGCTGTTATCGTCGTTTCGATACCGACAACCATAAAAGGTGATACCAGTAAGTAATTTTTAATTAGATACACACACTTATCATTGACGTCAAAATGACTGAAAACATTTTAAACTACATACATATGGCTTTTTTTCCAATTAAGTTTGTATATGCAAAAATAAAATGAAATAAACTAAAACTTACCGCTTTAAACCATCTAACTTGTGGTTTGGGTAATCCTTCAAATATGACCGACAAACGTACACAGCCACCAATTAAAGCGGTACAATCTTTAGGACCTTCTAATATATAGGCCGGCTGAGGACGTTCTTTATTTGTATGATTTTGACTTAAATCTGTCTTCAAGTCTGTGGGAATTTCTGTAGGTTCAATTAATTTGAGGGCTGTTGTTGAGCGTGGTATTACGGCCAATGATGTATAGGATTTAAGTGATGAATGGGGTTTACCGGGATGTGTTACAACCAATTGAACTTCACCACTGTGTTCCAAGGTAACATCATTTATATGCAAAATTCGTAAACCATCTGTAGACGATGACTCCAACTGTAAAGTAATTTTTAAAAATAAAATTATTAAAAAACGCACTCATTGAAAAAAAACATAAAACTTCACTTAAAAATATTTTTAAACAAAAAATATGCATATTAATTTTTTTACTTATAAATGTATTAATAAAAAAAAACCTTTTTTTTAACAGCTGTACGTACAAATATAGGTTAAATATAAAATGAAAACAAAACACAAACAATAATTAATAATAAATAATAATATTTCACCATACGTTTGGTAATTGAATAAATAAATTTAAAACAAATTTTCTTTCGTGTTTGCGTCGATTGTTATAACTATATGGAGTGTATGTGATAAAATAACAAATTAGAATTGTGAACGATCGTAAAATTGGCGCACAACTAACTACAGAGAAAACTTGCGAATAGAATTTAATAAAGAAAATTTTAACTTTATTTTAGTGTTTTGCTTATACTTATTAGATTTACACCGCTAACTTGTTTAACGCGGCATTTAAGAGGAAATTATATTCTACGGAAAATGTGATAATAATATTTGGGATATTGAGGATTAAAATTTAGTTTTCGGAAAACTTTCGAAATCCTAGTCTATATAGTATGTAATCGGAAATAATGTCTAGTTTATAGTCTGAACCGCAATCAAGTTTAGTCTAGAGTCGAGACTATAGTTTAGACTATAGTTCACACTATAGTTTTCACTATAGTTCACACTATAGTTTTCACTATAGTTTACACTATAGTCCTGACTATAGTTTATACTATATTCCAGACTATAGTCCATACTATACTCCTGACTAAAGTTTAGTTAATAATTTAGACTATAGTTTACTCTATTGTTTAGATTATAGTCAAGACTATAGTTTAGACTATAGTCAAGACTATAGTTCAGACTAGAGTTTAGACTATAGGTTAGACTATAGTCCAGACTATAGGTTAGACTATAGTCCTGACTATAGTCCACAGTATATACCAGATTATGGTTTAGATTGTAATCAAAACTATAGTTTAGATTATAGTTTAGACTACAATTTAGACTATAGGTTAGGCTATAGTCCAGTCTATACTTCAGACTATAGTCCAGACTATTGTTTAGACTGTAGTCATTACTGTAGTTTCGACTATAGTTCAGTCTATGGTTTAGTCTATAATAAGGACTGTAGTCTAGTTTATAGTCTGGACTATAGTCTAGTCTATAGTCTGGACTATAGTCTAGTCTATAGTCTGGACTATAGTCTAGTCTATAGTCTGGACTATGGTCTAGTCTATAGTCTGGACTATAGTCTAGTCTATAGTCTGGACTATAGTCTAGTCTATAGTCTGGACTATAGTCTAGTCTATAGTCTGGACTATAGTCTAGTCTATAGTCTGCACTATTGTCTAGTCTAGTCTGGACTATAGTCTAGTCTATAGTCTGGACTATATTCTAGTCTATAGTCTGGACTATAGTCTAGTCTATAGTCTGGACTATAGTCTAGTCTATAGTCTGGACTATAGTCTAGTCTATAGTCTGGACTATAGTCTAGTCTATAGTCTGGACTATAGTCTAGTCTATAGTCTGGACTATAGTCTAGTCTATAGTCTGGACTATAGTCTAGTCTATAGTCTGGACTATAGTCTAGTCTATAGTCTGGACTATAGTCTAGTCTATAGTCTAGACTATAGTCTAGACAGACTATAGTCTAGACTATAGTCTAGTCTATAGTCTGGACTATAGTCTAGTCTATAGTCTAGACTATAGTCTAGTCTATAGTCTAGACTATAGTTTAGTCTATAGTCTAGACTATAGTCTAGTCTATAGTCTGGACTATAGTCTAGTCTATAGTCTGGACTATAGTTTAGTCTATAGTCTGGACTATAGTCTAGTCTATAGTCTGGACTATAGTCTAGTCTATAGTCTGGACTATAGTCTAGTCTATAGTCTGGACTATAGTCTAGTCTATAGTCTGGACTATAGTCTAGACTATAGTCTAGTCTATTGTCTAGACTATAGTCTAGTCTCTCTAGACTAGTCTAGTCTATAGTCTGGACTATAGTCTAGTCTATAGTCTGGACTATAGTCTAGTCTATAGTCTGGACTATAGTCTAGTCTATTGTCTAGACTATAGTCTAGTCTCTCTAGACTATAGTCTAGTCTCTCTAGACTATAGTCTAGTCTAGTCTATAGTCTGGACTATAGTCTAGTCTATAGTCTGGACTATTGTCTAGTCTATAGTCTGGACTATAGTCTAGTCTATAGTCTGGACTATAGTCTAGTCTATAGTCTGGACTATAGTCTAGTCTATAGTCTGGACTATAGTCTAGTCTATAGTCTGGACTATAGTCTAGTCTATAGTCTAGTCTCTATAGTTTAGTTCATAGTCTGAACTATAATCTATTCTGTATTCTAGTTTGGACTATAGTCTAGTCTGTAGTCTGGACTATAGTCTAGTCTATAGTCTGGACTCCAGTCTGATCTATAGTCTGGAATATAACCTAGCATATAATATGGACTATAGTCTAGTCTCTATAGTCTAGTTCATAGTCTGAACTATAATCTATTCTGTTCTGTATTCTGTACTATAGTCTATTCTATAGTCTGTACTATAGTCTAGTTTATAGTCTGGACTTTAGTCTATGGCCTGGAGTCTATAGTCTGGAGTATATTCCAGTCTATAGTTAAGTATATAATCTGGACTATAGTCTAGTGTATATTATGAACTACAGTCTATAGTCTTTAACATAATCCAGTATATAATTTGAACTATAGTTCTTTGAATAAGCTAAGTTATAGTAGTTCTAGAGTCTGAAATCTAGACTACAGATGATGAATTAAAGAAAACTGAATGGATTAAATGCGAAAAAAATTAAGTCATTAAAACCTAATGACTACTTTAATGACAAGATATAAATTAATTTCCAAAAATTGTTTTAAATTCAATTTATTTTTCAGAACTGCAATATAGGGCAAACCCACTATATAAGATTAAAATTAATGAACTGTTTAAATTAGATCAACCGAAACGAAAACAAAAACACTCCTTTTGTAATAAAAGTGCGAATATTTGAAAAAAGTAAAAGTAATTATTTAAATATTTAAATTAATTGAGTATTGTTAAAATTTTTAATTAATTAATTAGTAATTAAGAAATAATTAAAACTTTTGCCAATTTCACTCGTTTAACCAGGTTCAAGTATTTCAAAATTTTCATTTTGCTCTTTTTATTGTAAACTTCTACACTCATTTAATAAATTTAACTATTTGGTGCTCTTGCCTGCAATGCCAGAGAGCAGCAGTATTTTCATTATCACTTAATTTCTTTACTTAAATATTTTATAAGACAACAATTCGGAGCACAAAGAATTTACTTTTTTTACTTATTATATTTATTTTCACAACAACAATAATGCAAAATAATTAATGTTTGACAGGGTCGGTTTGTTGAGTTTGAATACATCAAATTTGTTTTGTTAATAACTTTTAGTTTTATCTTAATCTTTTGTAATAAATAAGATAAAAATATTAACACATAATATTTGTTTAGATTTAAGCACATAATTTATGTTTTTTTTTTAAAAAATAAACGTTATTTTTCAAACATTATATTCTTACTTTAACCATGTTTGTTTATGTTGCAAAAACAAAAACTAATAAACAATAAATTAATTTCACTATCAATCAAACAATTATTGATGCCTATCAGCAGAGCTCCATCAGCAACAAACAAGTCCGACTTTGTGTGTTAAATTTTAAATACTAACTGATTGACAGACATGATCGAAACTGTTTAGTTCAAAATATTATTTAGCTATGCGTTTTTCTTGTAGATCTCCAAGAGACAGACACGTAGAGATACATACCAACGACGAAATCGGTATTGATCTTGGCAAAGCAACCGCATATTTTTTTAAAATTTATGCATGTATTTGGTTGGTTTACTTTCCACTGTGTGTGTGTGTGTAAATATTGTTTAATTTAAAAATAAAAACAAACCTTATTATTCATTATTTGGTATGTAGTATATAGTATGTATGCCTGCCTCCCCAGTTTGTGTGTTTTTTTTTTTTTTTTTGGTTGGAGTTTAACGCGTAAGCTTAATTTTGCCTAAAAGGTATCGATCGTACTTTTGTGGGTATTTCATTGTTTATTATGTTAATTACGTGATTTTGTCTTTAAAACATGATTCACACAAATAGTAGTAGTCGTAGCATTTGTTTAACGAAGTTGTTTGTAAACAATGATACTTTACAATCGTTGTTGTTTTTTTTTTATGGACTCTTTTAGTACTGCATGCGTAAGTGATTTTGCTTAAAATTTGTTTTAAAGTTAGTGATCGGCATAAAGAGAAGTTGCGTATTCAAATAGGGAAATTTATACCATGATTCTTAAATTATCTAACTTCTCACTAGTTTATTGGCTATTTAGTATTGGACTAGTACATAATTCTAGTTCAGTTCTAGTTCAGTTCTAGTTCAGTTCTAGTTCAGTTCTAGTTCAGTTCTAGTTCAGTTCTAGTTCAGTTCTAGTTCAGTTCTAGTTCAGTTCTAGTTCATTCTAGTTCAGTTCTAGTTCAGTTCTAGTTCAGTTCTAGTTCAGTTCTAGTTCAGTTCTAGTTCAGTTCTAGTTCAGTTATAGTTCAGTTCTAGTTCAGTTCTAGTTCAGTTCTAGTTCAGTTCTAGTCAGTTCTAGTTCAGTTCTAGCTTCAGTTCTAGTTCAGTTCTAGTTCAGTTCTAGTTCAGTTCTAGTTCAGTTCTAGTTCAGTTCTAGTTCAGTTCTAGTTCAGTTCTAGTTCAGTTCTAGTCAGTTCTAGTTCAGTTCTAGTCAGTTCTAGTCGTTCTAGTTCAGTTCTAGTTCAGTTCTAGTTTAGTTCTAGTTCAGTCTAGTTCAGTTCTAGTCAGTTCTAGTTCAGTTCTAGTTCAGTTCTAGTTCAGTTATAGTTCAGTTCTAGTTCAGTTCTAGTTCAGTTCTAGTTCAGTTCTAGTTCAGTTCTAGTTCAGTTCTAGTTCAGTTCTAGTTCAGTTCTAGTTCAGTTCTAGTTCAGTTCTAGTTCAGTTCTAGTTCAGTTCTAGTTCAGTCTCAGTCTAGTTCAGTTCTAGTTCAGTTCTAGTTCTAGTTCTAGTTCTAGTTCTAGTTCAGTTCTAGTTCAGTTCTAGTTCAGTTCTAGTTCAGTTCTAGTTCAGTTCTAGTTCAGTTCTAGTTCAGTTCTAGTTCAGTTCTAGTTCAGTTCTAGTTCAGTTAGTTCAAGTTCTAGTTCAGTTCTAGTTCAGTTCTAGTTCAGTTCTAGTTCAGTTCTAGTTCAGTTCTAGTTCAATTCTAGTTCATTTCTAGTTCAGTTCTAGTTCAGTTCTAGTTCAGTTCTCGTTTCAGTTCTAGTTCAGTTCTAGTTCAGTTCTAGTTCAGTTCTAGTTCAGTTCTAGTTCAGTTCTAGTTCAGTTCTAGTCATTCTAGTTCAGTTCTAGTTCAGTTTCTAGTTCAGTTCTAGTTCAGTTCTAGTTAGTCTAGTTCAGTTCTAGTTCAGTTCTAGTTCAGTTCTAGTTCAGTTCTAGTTCAGTTCTAGTTCAGTTCTAGTTCAGTTCTAGTTCAGTTCTAGTTCAGTTCTAGTTCAGTTCTAGTTCAGTTCTAGTTCAGTTCTAGTTCAGTTCTAGTTCAGTTCTAGTTCAGTTCTAGTTCAGTTCTAGTTCAGTTCTAGTTCAGTTCTTGGTATATGTAAATAACTTATTCCAGACGGACCCTGATGGCTACAAGTGCCGATCACTGCTTTTAAACACATTAACTTTTCATTAGCACTACACTTTTACTATTTTGTTTAATAATATTTTTCTTTTGTTTTGTAAGATTAATTGCAACGTTTTATGTGTAAAAATAAAAACGTTTAAGAAAAATTAATCTTTGCCAAAAAAAAATTGTTTGAGAAAAGTACTTTAAAATATGAGCGGAATATTACAAAACTATATTAATACAATTGAGGTGTATAGAAGCAAAAGAAGCAATCTCCCAATTTATAAATGAAGTTTTAGCAAAAGGAAATATACATTTCATTCAAACATACGTTACAATTTCATCTATGTATTTAATTGATATAAAGAAAGAGATGCAGGTTTTCTCTTAATCATTTCAAAAGGAATAAAAGTGGAGATTACTGCCTTTGTTTCTATACCTTTCACTTAAAAACAATATAAATTATAACAAACACAAATCCAAATACAAAACTTACCGTAAATTCACATGAATCATCATCAGCAATGTTTTCCATAACTTGACGACCACACACATACCAACACACCTCAGCATCGGCGGGAAAAACACGGGCACAAAATGTTGCCTTAACACCACAATCGGCTACCACAGGCAATAGAGATTTCATTAACGCTAAACCACCATCGCTATTGTCGGCGATGATTTCGGAATTACGCCCAATATTTAAATTAGTAAAAGTAGAGCATTGAAAACCATCGAATGTGGTTACGATGCAGGTGTAACAACCAGAATCCAAATCGAATGCATCGTGAATACGTAAGCAGAGAAAACCATTGCCATGATCAATGTAACTTTGTAAATGACAAAAACAAAAAGAAAACAAAAGAGAAAAAGTGAATTTTTGTTTTTTTTTTAAAGATTAATAAAAGTAAAATTAAATTTTTGAATATAAATATAACATTTCATTCGGATAAATGCAATGGAATGATGAAGTTGGTGTAGAGATTCATAAATGTACTGATAAGGCAAAAATCGTTTTTAACTTACTTAAAATCATCCGATTCTTTAATAAGTTCACCATTACGGGTCCACATATACGTATACGGCATATTGGTCTTCAATTCAAAACATAAATCTATAGTTTCGCCTTCCCAGTGTTCGATTTCGTCGGGCAGGTGTTGCACAATTTCGCATTGAGTCTTGGTTGGTTGTTGTAATTCTTCTGCAGTTAAAAACTTTACCATAGTTGAAGTAACAATAGGTTCGTGTTCATGACCCTCGATTACACACGTATAAACACCCTCATCATCTTTCGATACATTGTCTACGAATAAAAATGCTTCTTCTTGTAATAGATCAATGTGAACGCGTTCACTTTCCTGCAATTCCAAACCATTATGATAGAATTTACAAGAAGGCACTGAGGAACCCCTAAAACCCGAAGCTAAAGCCATACGACCACCAATGGCGGTGGAGGGACCCATTATACGCCGATGTAAATAAGCATTTCGTTTTGAGGAAGAGGCACGTATACTGCGGGCAGAGGGTGATTTTGAATATCGTGAACTACCGATGACATCAAGACGAGCAGTGGCTTCTATGCGACCGTAATCATTTTCCAGTGTAATGCGATACAGGCCGGCATCATCGAATGTAACCTCCTCAATTTCCAAATAACGCAAATCATTGACTTCTTTAATAGCTATACGAGTAGTGGGAGTTACTATAATACCATCCTTATCCCAGGTGGCCCAGGGCATAGGATGACCAGCTATGGCACATTGGAAGCGTACACTGTCACCCTCCTCCACAACACGACTATTCGGAATGGCTAAAAATTTCGGCGCTGAAATAGCTTGACGACCATCGACCACACTGCGACCCCTACTGCTACGTGGTTCGCTAATATCAATAATAGAATTGCGATAAGATAAACGGCGACTGGGCGAAAAACTTCTAATAGGTGTGGATCGTGGTGTCGATAGAGGAGTTGAGGTAGCCGACAGAAAACCGGTGGGTCGTGTTAGTTGTCTATTTAACATATTTTCCTTTTCTTCTGGAACATCTACTATAATACAGGCTGACGATAGAGTGCGTCCAATATTATTTTTGGCAATACAAGTATATTCTCCTTCGTCTTCGGGATAAACACGTGGTATGCTGAGTGTAGCTTTGATGCCGTCATAAGTCATCTCAAAGTCTTTACCGCTGGGCAAAACACGACCATCTTTCTCCCAAATGATAACAGGTTCTGGTAGACCCTCTACGTGAGCCTCTAAGGTAATGGCATCACCGTCACAGCAACGTAAGTTGCGTAAATGACGAATAAAACGCGGTAACGTTTCGATATTGCTGAAAGTGTAAACAAATATTTGAAATTTTCCGAAATATTGTATAGTTTTAATAATACAAAGACTTGACCCATGTCTGATTGAACCCTCCCATGAGTGGGGTTGAGGAGACTAAATTGAAAGACAGGAGGAAAAAAGGTAAAAAAGGAAACAAAAGCAGAGATCGATAGATCTATAGCAACAGCAGCAGAGCGAGCGGTATCATCGACTCATTATAGCGCTATCGTATAATCGATCTAGCACTAAGCGAGCGAGCGAGCGAGCGGGCGAGCGAGCGAGCGAGCGAGCGAGCGAGCGAGGACGAGCGAGCTAGCAGCGAGCGAGCGAGCGAGCGAGCGAGCGAGCGAGCGAGCGAGCGAGCGAGCGGAGGGAGCGAGCGAGCGAGCGAGCGAGCGAGCGAGCGAGCGAGCGAGCAGCGAGCGAGCGAGCGAGCGAGCGAGCGAGCGAGCGAGCGAGCGAGCGAGCGAGAGAGCGAGCGAGCGAGCGAGCGAGCGAGCAGCGAGCGAGCGAGCGAGCGGGCGAGAGCGAGCGAGCGAGAGCGAGCGAGCGAGCGAGCGAGCGAGCGAGCGAGCGGAGCGCGAGCGAGCGAGCGAGCGAGCGAGCGAGCGAGCGAGCGAGCGAGCGAGCGAGCGAGCGAGCGAGCGAGCGAGCGAGCGAGCGAGCGAGCGAGCGAGCGAGCGAGCGAGCGAGCGAGCGAGCGAGCGAGCGAGCGAGCGAGCGAGCGAGCGAGCGAGCGAGCGAGGAGCGAGCGAGCAGCGAGCGAGCGAGCGAGCGAGCAGCGAGCGCGAGCGAGCTAGCGAGCGAGCGAGCGAGCGAGCGAGCGAGCGAGCGAGCGAGCGAGCGAGCGAGCATCGAGCGAGCGCGATCTATCTCGAGCTATCGATCTATCTAGCGTATCTATCTATCTATCTACTATCTCTATCATCATCTATCTATCTATCTATCTATCTATCTATCTATCTATCTATCTATCTATCAATCTATCTATCTATCTTTATGTTAAAAATTTCAAAAATTTGCTTAATTTAAAATGAAAACAACAAGTTTACTTTATTAAAAACTTTTAAATTCAATAAATGGCAATATTGAAATTTCATTTGAACACACTTCTGGCAACATTATATCTATCCCATCACAAGTTGGCAACTCATTTTCGTTTTTGATTTAGCAAATTACACAACCATTATAATAAATACAAATAAACTTGGCAGCACTGCTACTACTTTGTTATACAACCATTTTTTACTACAACATTTCACAACCAAGGTTACATTTCTCTCATCACTAATTGTAGAAGCTTGTTTTTCAGCAGGAGTAAAAAAATATTTTAGTTTTTCTTTTATAAAATTGTGATAAAATGATTATAATGCAAATGGATTTGGAACCCGGGTTCCGTAAAGCTGATATCAATAGTATACCAGTAATACGTAGTGAAACTATATTTACTTTTATAGCAAAAGTGTCGGCCACAAGTACGACGCCACCAGAACAGGCCTTAGCCAGGTAAATAAATTGAAATTAAAATAATGCTTTAATATATATTAATTAATTTGTCCTAAATAATTGTAATAGACAGACTAAGGATTCAGATTTGAGAGTAGACTATGTGCAAGTACGCCGTGTGGCGGAAATTACCGATATCAAGGCTTTGGTGTTTTCGGCCTCTGCGGCTTTGGCCTCATCTGCCGATACCCACATGAGAGTAAGCCTCAAGGTCGACACCAAAAAGGAAGAGATTCTTGAAGCCATGTGCTATCAATGTACGGATAAAGGTAGTGAAAAAGTGTAAACATTTTCAAAATTTTATTTCTTCATCAAAATTTTTTTGTTTACTCTTTAGAATCCTGTTGCCACATATTGACATTTATATTCTGGCTACATCGTCTCAACAACACAGAGTCTCCGGTGATACATGACTTTTGGGGTCATGAAACAGAAGCCCTAATGGAAGAGGGACGGGCAGAGCCCATACGTATACGAGACTTTTTTGCCTGCGATGAGTTGAGAATAGAGGGTGACCTTGAAGCTGCTGCTATGACAGATTTGGAAGGCGCTGCTTTTCTAGAACATGTGCTAGACGAAATGGAAGCTACTGGCTTAAGAGATGCAGCGTTATATCGTCATTGTCGGGGTGTTTTAGATGAATTTGAACCTCTGTATATACATCACACTTTATTGGATGCCTCCAATATTGGTGTCAAAGATCCTGCCACATTTATACAGCACATGGAAGATCAAGCTAAACAGGGTTTATTTGATCGTCTATCGGAAATATCAAAATCAAATTATAAAAGTTCTTTATGGCTAGAGGCGCAATATATGCGCTTGCGCTGTTCTTTAATACATCGTATAGCCTCAAGAAAGGATTCCGTGGAAGATGAACAAATTTTAGAGTCTTTGTTTTGTAAGGATCGTGATCTAAATGTAGAAGAAAAGCAACAGCTAAAACAACATAAACGTTTTATATTGAAACAAACGGAAAAATTGGAAAATAAAACCTATCATGAATGTGGTCTTCTGTTAAGCGAAAGTTATCCTTACATATGTGCTGCTCCCGATGGCATAACCGATGATCATATTGTGGAAATTAAAGCACCCAAAACAGATGAGGAATTTGAAAAGTATTTGGAGGGTAGAGAGACCATTGCTCCCAAATATATGGCCCAGATACAAATACAAATGTATATGGCAAATGTTACCAAAGCTTTATATTGTGTTTTAAGTCCTACCTTCGATACTAATGGCGCTCTACATTATGTTTGGGTACAAGCTGATATGGAATTTGTGGCTAGTCTTTTGGGAGCAGCTGAAGACTTTTGGAAGGAAGTGGTATTTCCTCGTCTAGCCAAAATCTATTTTAGTAATTCATAATTAAGAAGTTTTTTTAAACATGTAGTGTTACGTTCTTCCCATCTAATTATGATATTTTTTCAAATACATATTCACTTTTCAGTTTTATTTTATACGAAAATAAAGAAATTTTACAACACCATTTAAAACATTTCCCTAAGATTTGAATTTTGGTTAAATTTTTTAAGTTTTTCAACTTACCTTTGGCAAAAATTTGTAATGATATCACTGCCTTAGCTTCGCCATGACAATTTGATGCAATAACAGAATAAGTTCCGGTAAAATCTAATTTGGCATATGGTATTTCCAAACGGTATTCCGTACCCTCACCAATGCGTCGGAAATGAGGAGCGTCTTTGTAATATTCAGGCTAAAAAATAGTAAAAAATAATTTTTAGTAAAAAATAATTTTTAGTAAAAAATAATTTTTAGTAAAAAGTTTTAGAAATTTATGAAAAGAAATAGGTTCCATAAGTAAACACCTCAATTTTAAATTTTTGTATATAGAAGTCTTCCAATGGAAAAAATGTGTGATTAATTTATTTTCCATAAAAAATCAAAGGCCGAATTACCGCGTACGTTCGGTATCGAAAACTCATTTCGATATTGAAATTAAACAAAAAAAAACTAAACTTCTTGTCCTATTTTGAATGCCATCATCTCAAAAAGGAAAGTTACCATCAAATTTACTAGATCACACATGCAGTAATTCTCATCGGTGGCAATTTCTTAAACATCGCTCTGATCAATAAAATAGTGAAAATCTGTGATCACTTTAATTTTCTATTGTTAAGAAAACCTCTAAAATTGGGTTCAGAAAAAATGCAATTATTTGTGATCAGTTAGATTTTACACCAAAATATCACATTTCGTGAGAAATACTTAGAATCGGCTGTATATCCTCCAGATATTACTCCAATCGAGAAAATAACTCCAATTTGTGATCACTTTAAATTACTAAAAAAATCAGCTTTTATAGGGAAAACCTCAAATCGGCTGCTAGACTAGAATATAGACTATGGACTAGACTATAGGCTAGGATAGAATATAGAATTGACTATAGACCAGACTCTAAATTAGACTAAACTATAGGCTTAACTACAGGGTACTCTAAAGACTAGACTATAGAGTACACTAAAGACTAGACTAAAGAATTGACTAGAGACCAGACTATTGAATAGACTAGACTATTGACTGGACTATAGACGCGATTATAGACTAGATTATAGATAAGACTATAAATTAGACTAGACTATGGACTAGGCTATAGACTTGACTATAGGCCAGATTATAGACCAGACTATAGACTAGACTTTAGAACAGACTAGAGAATAGAATAGACCAAAGAATGTGCTATATACTAGACTATAGACTAGACTAAAGACTAGACTTAAGACTAGGCTATATACTAGACTATAGACTAGACTTAAGACTAATCTATAGACTAGACTACAGACTAGACTTTATACTAAGCTATATACTAGACTATGTACTAGACTAAAGAGTAGACTATAGACTAGACTAAAGACTAGACTATAGACTAGACTACAGACTAGACTATAGACTAGTATATAGACTATACTATTGTCTAGACTATAGACTAGATTATAGACTAGACTATAAACTAAACAATAGACTAGACTATAAACTAAACAATAGACTAGACTATAGACTAGACTATAGACTAGACTATAGACTAGACTATAGACTAGACTATAGACTAGTCTATAGACTAGACTACAAACTAGACTACAGACTAGAATATAGACTATACTATTGACTAGAATATAGACTGTACTATTGACTAGACTATAGACTACACTGTGAACTGGACTGTAGACTAGACTATAGATTAGACTATAGACTAGACTATGGACTAGGCTATAGACTACACTATAGACTAAAATATAGACCATTTTAGCCCAGACTTTAAAATAGACTATTGACTAGAATATAAACTAGACTATAGACTAGAATATAGACTAGACTATAGACTAGAATATAGACTAGACTATAGACTAGATTATACTATAGAATAGTCCAAAGAATATGCTATATACTAGATTATAGACTAGACAAAAGACTAGTCTATAGACTCGACTATAGACTAGAATATAGAATAGTCTATATACTAGGCTATAGATTATACTATAGACTAGACTATAGACTAGACTATACACTAGACTATAGACTATACTGCAGACTAGATTATAAACTAGACTATAGACTCGACTATAGACTAAACTATAGACTAGACTATAGATTACACTATAGACTACACTATAGACTAGACTATAGACTAAAGTACAGATTAATCTATTAACTACTATATGCTCTAATAAACAAAATAGACAAAATCTGTGATCACTTTAGCCAAAATCGACTCTTATATGAATAAAATCCTTAAACAGTGATTCCAAATACCAAAAAAAAAAATGTGATCAGTGTCCCTAATATGGAAATACATAGTAAAACCGACAATAGATTCTTAAATAGCGCTCCAAATCAAAAATATATGGTTTTGTACGAAAAGATTAACTCTTTTAATAAAGCTTCAATAGAGAAAGTATCAAAATGATGTGATCACTTCAATTTTTCTTAAGATCAATAAATAGCCCTCCATTGGAGATACATAAATGCGTTCACTCATATTTCCTGTCAAAAATGAATTTTCATATCCTAAAATCGTATATAGATCCTCAAATTGGTCTCCAAATGATAAAGTACTGACAATATGTGATTTGTAGATCGTTAAATAACGTTCCAGTTGAGAATATAGTAGAAATCTGTGATCAATTGAAAAATCTGTGAAAAATCTACATTTTTAAGACATACGTAAAATCGGAACAGATCAAGAAAATAATATGTAATCAATTAAATTGTCCATGCAAAATCGACTTTTATATAAAATATCTAAAATAGGCTGCAAGTCCTTAAATAGTGCTCCATTTAAGAAAATAACGATAATCTGTGATGACGCATAATTTTTCAACAAAAGTCGGTTTTTTATATGAAAAACCTATAACCGTTTGCAGTTCCTTAAATATAATTTGATTAATGTTATTAAACTTTCAACATGTTGTTGCACATTTAAAAATTAATTAATAATTAGACACGTTAAATGTTTTATATATAAACAATATACATATTTAGTACATAAGTGTATGAATGTGTATAGTCCAGTGCAGGTTTATTCAATGTCGTTTAAAAAATATAAAATTTAAAAAAAACTAATTTTGTTTATAAAAATGTAAACAGTTATTTTGTTTGATTGTTTGTTAATTTCAAAATAATAAAATTTGTTAAAAGTTTCCTCTTGCTGTTAACTTCAAACGTAAACTGGAAACTCTCTTAACTCAGCCTCTCCACCCCACTAATCTGTTGTCTATATATTATACATGTTGCATGTGTATGTAATTTAGTATGTGTGTGTATATTGTTGCCTCGTTTTCAATTGATCTTATATGGCATTAAAAAAAATAACAAAAAAAATAAATTAACTGTAATAAAATCATATTTAATGAATCATTTTTTTTTTGTATTGCAATTTGCAACAAAGATACAAAATTATATGTACAACAACAACAACATTTAAAAGCACTGACAAACAAGTCATGATCAAGTCGCAATATTTAAAAAAATGTCTAACAAAATTGTCCTTATAATATGTCAAAAATATTATTACAGACAGAGAGATGCTGATAATTTTTTTTTTTATTTTTCAACGACGGTACTTAATATTAATTTAAATTTTATAATTTAATGGCGAAAATATTTTATGAAAATATAATAAATTATCTAGATTAATTAAAGAAAGACTCAGAGATTGGTTTTAAGTTATACGGCATGTATGGACAAGATCGTCTCAGAATGTTACACTTGGAAGAAGTTAATAACATTTGAAGGTGGAAACCCCAAAATATGGTATACATTCGCATACGTAAGTCTTCGTCATTGGTCTCTGATAACTTTGATCACTTTAATGTTCAAAAAGACTAAAACTAGAATCACCTTAAACTAACTAGTGCTTACTTTTAAAACGAGTTTTATGGGAACCAGTTCTTTAGGAATAGTTTAATATTTTTCGATATATAGTAACACAGGCCAACAAAAATCAAATCAAAACCCAGAAACCATGTGTACTTTACTAAAGCCAAATTTAGGTTCAACTGAGCTCAAACTTTTAGAAAATGACACTTTGTTCTCTGGGTTAAAAATTTGTTCGAGTTACGTTAAGAAATTAAAGAAATGTTTTAAAATATCACGTTCAGCGTTGAAATGAACTTAAAATTAAACATTTTTCGATTGCCGCAAGTCAGTATCGTACATGTGATTGAACCTAAATAAATAACAAATAATAGTTTTATACTCGACTAAGGGAGGGTTTTTCAGATAAAGATAATCTACATTCTTTGTTTAAACCTAGTTTAATATATGTTTTGTGTTTTTCAGTAAACAGTAGGGTTCTGTAAATCGACTTTCGAATAATCGAACAATCGACTTTTGTCGAAAAAAGTCGAAAAGTCGAAGTCGACTATTTTGTTCCAAAAAAGTCGATAACTCGACTATGGTCTGTGAAAAAAGTCGAAAAGTCGACTTTGTTAATAAAAGTCGAAAAAAGTCGAAAAGTCGGAAAAAAATCGAAAAAATTCGAAAAGTCGAAAAGTCGGAAAAGGTCGAAAAGTCGACTATTTATAAAATACTTATAGTCGAAAAGTCTAAAAGTCGACTTTTAATTAAATGAAAAAAGTCGAAAAATCGACCTTTCATAAAATGCAAAAAGTCGAGAAGTCGAAAAGTCGACTTTTAACTAAATGAAAAAAGTCGACTTTTCGTTTCAACTATAGAACCCTAGTAAACAGTAACGTTACTTAGGGCGAGTTTTTCTGATAAAGATAATCTTCATTCTTTGGTTAAACCTGGTTTATTATATGTTTCGTGTTTTTCAGTTATCAGTAAAGTTACATATTATCTTAGTTTAACTGAGTGTAATTGGCCAATTAAACTCAAGTTATAAGTGAGAAAACACAATTAACAAAAACAATAAAACAATGATTTCGGAAGAACAAAAACTTAATATTTTAAGTAAATTGCAATTTTCTGATCTGTTTTGTTTTATTTATTATTGTTTTAAATGTTTATTTAACATTTTTCCAAAATTTTCTATTTTACAAAAGTATTGTGTGCAAAAAACAGCTGTTCACTGTTTATGTTTTTGAGTAAAAACTTGGCAATACTAACAAAGTTAACTGAGCTTAAATCTAAAACTGAAAAACACAATCATCGGTTAAAGTCCGCCTAAATTTGTTCCTAGTTTAATCTAACAGCAAGTTAAGCCTAGTTTAACTAAGGAGTAAGAAACCCGCCCTT